AGCAGTAGGAGGAGGAGTAGTAGTAGTAGTAGTAGTAGTAGTGGTGGTGGTAGCAGTAGTAGTAGTAGTAGTAGTAGTAGTAGTAGTCGTCGTAGTCACAGCAGCAGCAGGAGGAGGAGTAGTAGTAGCAACAGTAGTGTGACTATTGTTGTTGCTCAAGGACAACCACCAAGCTATAATATACACTAAACGGATCCGAGCTCTCCAGCACATTTCGGAAGGCAGACTTCAGTCATCGTGCGTAAGGCTCACGGGTCGCACTAAGGAGGTCGTGTGTTGGGGATGGATGCCTACGGCTCTTCTTTCACACCCCCCAAAGCCCCAAACCCTAACACCCAAAGCTCTAAAACCCTAAACCGCCTAAAACTCAAGCTCTAGAGCCCAAAGCAATAAACTCCCTTGAGCCCCAAACCCATTACTCCAAAAGACCAGCTTCATTTCCAGTCCCCATGGCAGAGCGCACAGAATGCAGTCCGCAGCCATGGAAAAAGCTTGCGTAGGATTTGGGCTCTTTAGGATCAGGGTGCAGACCTCAGGCTTAGGTGTCGGGGTTTGCGGCTGCAATGCACGAGCAGCGAGGCCTGAGACAAGTTTGGGGGACATGTTGTGCTCTGCTTTTTGGATGCGATGGCACAGGACGCCCAGCAATGGTCGTCTCAGATGGGTATGTGGGTTGTTCTAAACTGCAGTACCCTTGAGAGTCCTGGTGCCATCAAACATTCAACAGTAGCCTCAGTCAGTCAGGTCAGTTAGCCTTTGTTCGGGTTCATCTACTGGTGCAAGAAATTGTCAAACGATGCTGAAAAAGCAGCGGGAGTTACAGACATAGTCTAGCCAGAAGGTCCTAATGATCCTTCACCCCCCCTCGCGTCCAGAATCCACAAACATAGCATCTAAAACTCAACTAAAAAATAAAAAGAAACTCTAACATCCCAAACTCCGTCAGCCCTAAAACCTGATCCCTTATAGAGCCCTCAACCTGACATCCGAAAACAGGTAAACCCCCACATCCTTTAAGCCACAAGCCAAGCAGAGGCCTTCTCGACTTAATCGGCGAGTCCCCAAGCGCCTCAGGCCAAATCCCAGGCTCCAGGGCTTCAGGAGGGTTCGGTTCAGGGGCTTGGGCATCTACTGGCTTTGAAGTTTATTTGGGAGGTTTCGGTCTTTTGTGCTGTTTGGGGCTCTTGGTGGGCGGTTTTGCTTTCGGGTTCAAGCTCCGCTCTGCTTTAAAGCAGAGCTTATCATGGAGGGTTCAAGGGTTCAGGGTTCTGTTTTTGGTTTTGTAGGGTTTGGGAATGAGGGGTTTAGTCGCAACCGAATTCGTAAGCCAAACATCGTCTGTAAGGAAATTGAGAGAGCTCGGGTTTGCCGATATTGACAGTGACAGAGGGCTTTTGGCTCTAAGGCCATACGTCTTCTGCTGGGCCGTGCTGCTGGGCTGTAGCTCCTTATGGAGGATCGGATTCCATCCGAATGCCTCATCCTTACGCGACATTACGTTCAGGAGGCTTTGCGAAGCCCAGGCTTTCCCGGTATCAAGCTCAAGGACCTCGCCATCCTGTGAGAGAAACATGGGACCGTGCCTCAAGGCACAGGCAAAGCCTCAAACCCTGCAAACCCTTTGGCTAAACCCTAGCCCCAAAAGCCTGCTATCAAGCAGCTTTGACCTCCTGAAGCGAAACGACCTGAAGCACCTCACGGTCCCTTGGACCCGCACCTTGGGATGCCTTACAATTAAGAACCCGACATAATTCAAGCATCAAGGAGACCTGAGGAAAACCCAAGCACAAGTTAGGCACAAGTTGAGAATTGAATTGTGAGCGGTGGCGAACTTGCCGATGTCCTATTTTCCATTCTGCAAACTGCTTTCTTCAGTGGACCCAGATCGATCCTGCGGCAAGGAGTGCTTTTGTAGCACTCGCAAAACTGTATTTGTCGCAGCTTGAACTGAAAACAGTCTGCTGCTGCCGCTGAGATGTTCCGTTTAAAAACATCTCGGACCTGGGTTCAGTACAGTTTACAGTCCGACAGCGGTCGGCCAAACGTTGTGTAGTCCGACCGGGGCCCTGGATGCACCGTGCCATCCGATCGGAAAATCTGCATGGTCTTGCCACCCACCTCGCATGTCGCGCTGGGAAAACAGCACAACACAGGTGAGCTTGCTCATATTTCTGTAATTAGGGCCTTGAAAACCTATGTTCAGAGCCAGCGAATCCTTAAGAGATGGGTTCCTCAACCTCTGCCCTTGTCTTTTCTATGACGTTTATGTTGTGGAAAACCGTGTATGACGTGCAAAAGCCCTGGTTCCAGTCGGTCTTAAAGTAGGCCCTGCGCAAGCAATCTGAACCTTCACATGAAAATCGTTGGCGAGTTGCATGGGTGACAGAGAAGTGTGTTCCGTCCACGTCGCCTACACGGAAGTTGCCGATCTGCACAAACCGATCGCCTGCTTCGAGCTCGGAGCAAGAGGACTTTCTCGACAATTTCGGAGACTTCTTCGGTCTGTGGGGGATGTCACGTCGAGGAGCTATGGTCCACGAAGTTGTGAGAATTTGGTTTTGGCTCTAAGTGACCCACAACTCATGATCAACGGCCCGAAGAAAAGTAGGCTTTCTAGGGTCCAGGTAAACCCTAAACCCTCGATCTTGAGAAACCGACGGCAACAGGTTTTGGTTTCAACTTTGAGGGGCAAGGTCGCGGTATGCAGAAAACAGCTGCGCGAAGCCTTGACCTCGAAAAGGGTTTAGGGGTTTAGGGGTTAGTGTGTGGGGTACATGTTATTGGATTCTAACTCTACTCTACCCTACTATGCGATACTAAGGCTATGCCATACTTTACGGTACGGTGCTATACCTCACCACACTGCGATTGTGTTATATACGAACACTACATCATGTTATGTTTTGGTATGTTGCATTGTATGATACAGTACTAAGAAAGAATCCAGTATTAAAGACTATGACACATATATATATATATACACATAATTTTTTAGACCCATATGATAGTAAAACATTGGTGTAGAACAACGTCACACAATGGAATGTAATGCAATACAGTATAGTAAAACATAACCTACTGAGCACAGGTAACATGATATGACAAAGCGAAACATAAAATGACATAAGATCGCAACAGATAACAAAACACAGGTTTTTCTCATCATGTACATATATATTTCTTGTATTGTTTTACATCAGCTGCAGGATTTCATGTTTTATCATAAAGTTATCATAACTTACATTATGTAGAGTTAAGTTGTATTATGTTATGATATAGTACATACCGTTATAGAGTGTAACATTACATATCATTATTTCGTGTTGCACTTCATAGCACTATGCTATAGTGCTCCTTCTACTGTTATATCATATCATCGCATTTCACCCGGTATGGTATGATCTGACATTATGCTGTATGATATTGAATATCATCTGGCACTGTGTTATGCTATACTAGACCATACCAGACCATACGGTACTATACTGAACTATACTCTATTTTACTGTACTATATTAACGTATCGTAGTATGGCATAGCAGATAAGATGAACATACGATGACAATTTATTATTCTGTTGTCAATATTTTGTTGCATGATATATTACATTTCGTTTTATGGTGTGTTACGGGTTCTGCATGTTTATATTGACATTTTCTTAAAACTGCAATTTCGTCACACACTTCAAAGCCGACTCCAAGGCGCCCTCTGCACTCATCAGCACAACTGAGTATAGGCTTCAGGCTTTACAGTTTGGGCTTTAGGGTTTAAGGCGTAGGGGTTCTACATGCCTCAACCAAGGTTTCAACTATAGTACCTGAACGATCGTTGCCTCACTTGCAGCCGTGTGCCGTAGTTGCTGAGAACCCTTATAGAATCCTTGTGAACAACCTGATTTTTGCGAAAATCCTATCACACCCTTGCAGAATCTTTGTGGCAATTTTTTTTTAATAGCAAAAGAGTCGAGCTGCCGAAGCTCACACCCAGGGCGTCTCCTTCCTGCCGACCCCAGAGGCCAAAGTCCTTGGTGGAAGCGTGGGGCTTCTTGCTTTGGCATTTAAGGCTTGAAGACTGCTGCCGTTGATCCTCGTCCTCCTCCGCCTGATACCACCAAAACAAGCACGCTCATCGCACCTACGACCACAACGGCGACAGCACCATCAGCGGTAGCATGAAGCACTACGGTTCTTGTCCTGCTCCTCTTGTTCACCGTCGTCATTATCCTCACCATCAAAAATTTCGACATCACGAGAGTTGACAGTTGAAGAGGCTTCCTAAACACTAAACCCTGACCCTCTCAAGTCTTGCGCAAAGTCTTCGGGGTCGGAGACCCCCTGAGGTTAGGATGGCCATCCATAACAATAGTGAGGAGTGCGCTATCCCAGGGATTGTGCAGGCCGGTTACATATTCATTCTTGTAAGGGGGGCTTGCTGGTTGTATATGACTGTAAGTCGGGAGTGTATCGGGCTCAATTTTTGCTGCCGACGGTACCCACCACTGCCTCTACGAAAGATTGCTCTCGAAGTTTCTTGTGCACCATTTCCCATAAGAATAGGGCAGCACATCTTCAAACCTCACCTTTGCCGAACCCTCAACTCAAAGCCGTAAGTCCCAGCTGGTCACAAACAAAGAGTCTGTGCGAGGCCCCGGATGCAATGTGCCATGCTTGTGGAAGATCTGAACCGTCTTGCCGCCGCTGTGTGATATGGAAAAGTGTGCCTGACATCGCCCGGCTTCGTAACCCCTAAGCCCTACAAGTAGTTGAGAGCTTTGGGCTTTTAACCCGAAGCCCTCAAACCCTAAACTAGTCTAGCACTAAACTTGATGCCTCTAAAACAACCCCCTTTGGGCTGAGGCTGACCCCGAAAAGCTGCAGAAACCTACTCGACCCCAAACGCCGTACACCTCAGCGTCATTCCCTAAACTGTAGAAAGCTTTCGGGGGATCTTTCGGGTTGTGGGGCCAGGGAGAAGCGGCACCTCGTCCACCTCACCCATGCGAAAGTTCCCAAACTGGACAAAGCGATCTCCGAAGGCCAGTCGATGGTGAGCCTCCTCCTGTGGCTTTGGGTTTAGGGTTTAGGGTTTAGGGCTTAGGGTTTAGGGTTTAGGGGTTTAGGGGTTTTTAGGACTTCCTGCGGCGGCTTCAGAGTCGCTTTTGGAGATGAGAACTCAGGGCCCGGTGTGTAGCAGCAGGTCGGGTCTTTAGATGTTTCGGGCTTTCAGTCAATATCTCCATGGGCTCGATGCAGGTCTTACCAGTCTTACAGTAATCTAAGAAGGCTCTAAATACTACAGCGTTGGAGGTTTTGGGAGTTTAGCCCCTAAGTCCAACGATCCGAAACCCCTGAACGCCCGAATCCCACACTCGGAACCCTACGTCCTGCAGCGCTCTTGAATGCTTGCCGGAGCTTCAAAGGGCTCTTTCTGTCAAGGCTGTTATCTTCAAGAATTCTACAATCAGGCTGTACAGGGGTTTAGGGTTTAGCTTGATGCGGGGTGGCCAGACAAACCCAAAGCCCTAGACCCTTTCAACTCTAAACGCCCCTCCTATAAACCCTGCGGACCCTTACAGCCCCTGTAAAACCCAAATCCAAACTTCGAAGCGTTTGAGGCTTCTTTGCTAAGCTGCTGGATGCCGACTTTGAAAGGCTTAAAGTTTAGGGCATAGGAATTACGATGGCTGCGCTTTGATTTCAGTTTCAGGGTGTAGTAGGGTGGAGGGCTTGAATATGCGTTGATTAAAGATTTTTGGGTGGCTTGTAGGGTGTCCAGGATGGCTTCAGGAGCCCAGTCCCTGCTCTCCTTCAAGGGACCAAGCTTCTTTCCCCTAGCCGGAGGCCCCACAAACTGCTCTCAACTGTATCCCTAGACTCGAAACCCTACCCCCTAAGCCCTCCTCTCTTGCAAGCCTTCGTCTCGAGATGCCACGCGCCCCAGCTGGTTCTGGGACCCGGATGCAAGGTCCCATCATTGCGGTAGATCTGTGCAGTCTGCCCTGCCTGCGGGGTACCCACAGACCGACTGAGGAGTCTCCCGTAAAGTGTTTTGAAAACACATGCGCCTCCAGGCATTTTTGAAGGGCTTTGCATAAGGGCTTCTGCAAGGGTTTCATGAAACATATGAGGGTCTGCATGTACTGGATTTCAATTCCGGTGTTTTGGAGACGGTTCCCGCGAGAAGGGATCGTGTAAAACGTAGAAGACTGGCATTCGGGATTCTAGGTTTTGGGTTCAGGGTTTGGGTGCACTCGAAAGACCCAAACTTCAGTTCTGGTTGGCTGGCCACAGCAGCCAAGAACACAGTTACAAGTTACTACTTCGATACAACAGAGGTTCCTTAACACTCAAAATGGTGGGGTTCTGGGCTATTGTAAGTAATTTTGCCCTATGGTATCGTCTGCTTGTTACAAAGGACCCTAAGGCTTTAAGGAAGAGTTGTTGCACATGTTCGGATAAGGGTTTATGCACAAGGCGAGCAAGGTCCGAGATTGAGTGTACAGAGGCCTGGTGCGACACGGTGAAGTGGTTTCCGTCGATCGCAGCAAGCCTCCACTCGCCGAGCTGGAGGAAGTTGTGACCAGTCGCAATCCCCGTGCAGGTTCCCAAGACGCTTTGCACCGTTCCGCAGTGCCACTGGGGATAGCGGTCATTCAGCGCAGGGGTCCAGTCGGTTCGTGGACCGGGATGAAGCGTGCCATGTTTATGGTAGATCTGGATCGTCTGCCCGCCGTGATGCGTCACGATGAAGTGTGTTCCATCCGCGTCACCGATGCGGAACCTTCCGAACTGGATGAACCGGTCTCCGAACCTGACAGCGTCAACACGCGACAGCGTGCAAAGCATCCACACCAGTTGTGAAGACGTTACACTTCGCTAGGCTCCCTCACGCCCTTATGCAGAAGTGTTGAGGTTGCAGGCCACTGGCACTCTGCTTCATGAGATTTTAGCATCGGAGCTGGTAGGCGAGAAGTAACGCTAGCAACCCCTCTTGTAATTGTAGCTAAAGAGAACCCTACAAGACCCTCGAGTAGAACACACTGCAAAGCTACCTATGTTAACACAGCCCTACAAGACCCTCGCAAAGCAGGCGAGATTTTTGGGCTGCCACTTGGAGTTCCGCAATTTGCCAGGGTTGCTTCTTGCAGCAGATAGCTCAAGGTTTACGGCTTCCGAGCTGCTTTTTGGTTTTAGGTGAATCCTTTCGAGACATATCTGACCTTCTGAAACCCAATAAAACACTTTATACAGGGAACGATCTAGTGACATAACACTTTACGCCACGCCAGGCAGGCATCTAGACTTATGCAAAAACATGCATTAGCAAACGGAGTCAAAGGGCCAATTACTCTGCATGGCCCAGGCATTCGTCACTCTGCACTAGTGCTATTGCTTTTTCTGCAGAAGAGCTTGCGAAGGGTTGGCTTCGTGGACTTCCGGCATGCTGAAGTTTGTTATGTAGATGTGCGTGCCCTTTAGGAACATGCACCAGTTCAGGGATGTTCTTGTCAAGCTCGTGACTACTGAGGTGTTCAAATTGCGAAGATGTAAGTGCACGATACCCCGTCCTTACCTGAACGAAGCTCGTTTCTCGTGACTTGAAGACCTGTCGCAGCCATAAGAGCACGGCATTCTCTTGAAACGAAACAAACCACTTGAGCACAGGAACGATGCTGGCTTTGGAACAGACCGAAACGCAGCAAATCACTTGCCTCCCCAACCCCTTAAGACCAGGGTCAAAAGCGCCTGCCCGGCGCGCACTGAGGTATGCTGTATTAGGTTTTAGGGTTTAGGGTTTAGGACTGTATTTATACTTGATGAAGGAACCATGAGGAATAGTATGAGTTGTCTCTCAGATCCCCCTAAATGTTGAAATGCTGCTTCTGTTTCTTTGCCGGGCAGCGTGGTGCTGCCCGCCGGCCCGGAGCTTCGACTCCAAGCGTTGTAGTCCTGGGGTCTTCGAGTTGTGATGAAGGCTTTACGAAGGCGACACTGCATATACATACTACATCTATCTATACATACATATCTCTCTGTGTATATATATGTATACGTGCGCATACATACCTTCATACATACATACATGCATACATACATACATACATATATACATACATACATACCTACATACATACATATACACATACATACATACATACATACATACATACATACATACATACATACATATACATACATATACATACATATACATACATATACATGCATATACATACATATACATGCGTATACATACATATACATACATATACATATATATACATA